GGACTGGCCTCTGGCGCCGGCCAGCGGCGGTCAGTCCTCTGTGGGTCTGTTTTATTCTTACCGCCGTCCTCAAGGCCGCCTCGGCCTCTCCCTGCCACAGCAGCGCGGTGCCGACGGGGCTGACCACAGGGACGGAGCTCAGCCAGCAGCCCGGGGCGCGTGACCTGGACGGCGCACGTGTGCGCGAGCCCGGCTCTCCCGGACGCTGGGGGAATGAATGAAAGGGGGTTCCGGGGCGCAGCGCCGGTCTGTTAACGGGGGACTGGCGGGGAGGCGAGCGGGCACCCCGTCTGCAGTGCCAGCATTCCCGGGGGACGGCTCTGTGCAGACGGCGCGGAGTCGCTGTCCGGCATCCGGCCGTCGTGTCCGGGGCAGGGCGGCGCCTGGTGGCTGGGCTGCAGGACTCAGTGGCCCCGCGGGGTCGGGACCCCTGGCCCGGAGGCCTCAGTGAGGCCCGGTGGACTCAGGAGCCGGCCCTGGTCAGAGCAAGCCGCGTCCTGCGTGTGGTCCCGCCGTGTCCAAGGGCCATCGGCTCTGGGCCGGCCTTCTGAGCCGACCCCTGGGCCGCCCACCAATGCCGGGCCCGGGGAGCGCGTCAGTGGCCGCCTGGCCCGCCGGGCGCTTGGGGGCTTCCGCCGCCGCCTTCACTTCACAGACGACCGAGCCAGGCCCCGGCTGGGTGACCAGCAGGCCCGGAGTCCGGGGCCAGAGGTGGGAGGGCAGCCCGGGAACGGCCTGGAGCCCCACTGACCGCTCCGGAGCTTCTCACGACCAGACAAGATCCCCTCTGTGCCAGCAGCGGCGCCACGCCCTCGGCCCCGGGCAGCGGCGGTGACGTGGACACACCCAGGGCCGGGAGAACTGGCGCTTTCCCTTGGGTCCTCCTCGGGAGGCGATCCCTGGGAGAGGCCGGCCCGTACAGCTGAGTCAGCACTGCGTCCAGACGGGCTGGGGGCGTGGGCGCCCACCCACGGTCCAGCCGCAGGCCTCAGGTGTGCCTGGTGCCCCCCGCCCCTGGCACCCCCCCAGCCTCCACACTGTCAGGGCCGCCCCGTGGCGGCTGCGGGAGCCCGGTGTCCGGGCCGGCTCGGCGGGGCTCCTGCGGGGGTGCTCTCTGGCCAGCTGGCCGGCGGGCGCTTGCCCTTTCACCACGAGGACGCTGTGCCCACCGCCTCGACCCGCCCCACCCTGTGCGCGTGGCAGACTCGGGCGGGGGCTGGGGGCCGTGCGCATCCCTGGGTGTGCGTGGCCGTGTGGCCAGATGCCCCACCCACCCCTCTCACCCCGTCCGTCTCCGTTCCTGCCCCCCGAAACCGTGTTTAGGGTTTGGTGGGTCTCGGCCACCCCCCGCCCCGCACCCCCGTGCCCTGGGCGGCTCCTGCCTCCCTGGCAGCGCTGGGCACAGGGAGGCTCCCGGGAGGCGCGGGCAGTGCCGGCCCTGCCCCGAGACGCCCGCCCGCCCCCTCCTGCCAGGGTGGGTCTGGACTGGCTTTGTGGCTCTCGCCAGTGCCGCAGCTTTATCGCGCTCCGAGGGCTTAAGTTTCAGCGGGAGACTCGGGAGGAGCCTCCGCCGGGAGGGCGCCGGGCCGGCCGGGCCGGGAGGCGGCGGGCCGCTGTGGTCTCTGCCCAGGGCAGGGCCCGCCTGCCTCCTGCTCACCCCGCTCAGAGTTGGGCTCCCCGTGCTGCCCCCCAACCCGGCACAACCCCTCTGCCTAGGTCCCCCTGGGGGCACAGGCACGGTGTGCGCGTGGGGGCCCCCCTGGGAGGGGCTTCGACCGGAGACTTAGCAGCCAGAGCCCCCGCTCCGTCCACGCAGGGTGAGCAGTGCAGAGGCCTGGGGCCGGCCGCTGCTGCGGGGCTCCTGGCCAGAGGCGAGGGGCACGTGCAGCTCTGGGCCTGAGCCCACAGCGCTGTGTTTTCTGGGGGTGCTGCGGCCAGGTGGAGGGCGGGGCTGGGCCCGAGTGGCCCTTGGGAGGACAGGCAGCAGGCCTGGCGGTGGGAGGCTGCTGGCATTATTCTTTGCATTTGGAGGGAAGGGCTAGACGGCCGGGCACTGAAGGAGCCCCTCGATGCACTGTAGTGGCCAGGCCTGCCCAGCCCTGCCCTGCCCTGCCCAGCCCT